GTGTAAGGATTTGAATTTTTTTTGGGGCCAAAATTATTTGAATCTTTATGGATCCATTATTTGAGCCCATTTCGCTTACCAGTAGTTGCGGGCCGGAAGGCTTAAGTATGCTTCATGCTGCTGGCGGCAGGCCATTCCGTCGGAAGAGTTGGAAGGTAATGAAACGAGGAGCGAAAATGGAAGACCAGGAATAGCTTCATTCCTTCTCCCCTTGTTCGGCATTGAGAAAATCCATGGCCCCCAAGCCTAAGGACAAACCAAAATCACCTGCGTCTCCGGCGCCGCCGCCGCAGCCGCAGCTGCCTCCATCAATCGAAGATCTGTTCACTTCACTTAACCGACACATCGAGCGATCCGAGTTCAAGCCTGCCGTCAAGGTCGCAGATCAAGGTCCATTCACTTTCACCTTCGTATCTCTCCCCAAATTCATCAATTTTTATTACCTGTATCTAATTTCCTTTTCATTTCTGTGCAGTTCTCTCGATTGCGCCGGGAGATGAGGATGCAATCCGATGCAAAGTTGTGGCGTTGATAAAGGGAGATAACATCGACGCTGCTCTCTCCACGATTCAGTCTTCTCAAAAGCTTCCCATTGATCTCAGTTTCTTCAAGGCCTGTAGTTATGAGAATTTCTTTCTTTGCATTTATTTGTTTTTACTTCAGTTTTTTTTTTCATACTAAGGCACTGCATTAAGAATGTTAATTGTTCTAGCTCAATTTGATACCTTTAGTGTCTCATAGGCTCGGCATCTTGTAAATTTGGTGGAAATTTATTGGCAATTTAGGAGCATTCTCGCTGCTATGGAAATGCAGTTTTGGAAATTGGATGTTAAATTTTTAGGTGTGTATCTCCTAGGTAGTTTCTTTTTTCTCTATGAGGAGGTAAAAATGCAGCAGACATTAATCCACAGTTTGTGCATTTGAGAATTTTCAATGGATTGATTGAGCTTATTCATAGATGATATAAGAGTTGGATTCACATCGTGGCTTGATTCATTTTGTAGTTTATCCACATCCAATTGCTCATCCTCATATTCATCCATCATATTAGCTGCAATGCATTTGTAGTTTTGTTCTTGTTTTAATGATTCAAAATCATTTAGGTTGATTCCTCAGATATATTTGTTTTGCATTTTTCTGCTTTTATTCCTCTCAATGTCATAGCTCTTGTGGTCTATAATAGATTTATTTCTACTTTGGTTATTCTCCAAATAAAACAATTTGTTTCAATCAAAGATGATTGCATAAAATTTTCACACTATTTGATATTGATTTTTTTTTTTTTTTCGCTCCCTCTAAACAGGCTTACTGTCTATACAGACTGAATAGGTTGGATGAGGCTTTAGAGTCCTTGAAAAATCAAGAGAGAAATTCTGCTACCATGTTGCTAGAATCTCAAATTCTGTATCGTCTAGGAAAAATGGATGCCTGTGTGGATGTCTATCGTCTGCTTCAACAGTCCAAGATTGAATCCGTTGAAATAAATCTTGTTGCTAGCTTGATTTCTGCTGGAAGAGCTTCTGAAGTGAAGAGAACTTTGGAGTCACTTAGGATTAAACCAAATAGCAGTTTTGAGTTGGCATACAATGTTGCTTGTTCTTTGATAGAAGACAATAAATACACAGATGCAGAACAACTCTTGCTGGCAGCTCGAAGGTACTACTCTACCTGCACCTTTTTTATGGCCTTCACAGTTCACACTACTTGCTTCTAGGAGTTGAAATTGATTAAGATGATTTTTTTCCTTTTTGAATTAGTTAAATGGAGTGATATTAGTGAATCCATGATCTATTATGTTTTGGCTATCATTTTTTAATAGCATGTTTAGAGAAAGATATCAAGCATATTTCAGTGGGTTGTACATTGTATTCTATAGCATGAGCACATGCATATCTTTGTTGCTTTTAAATGCCACTTTTTTATTCTCTTTATCAACAATCCTATGCTACTTGAAGCTGCACAGTTAACCCTCTCTGTTAGCCATTTAAAAAATATTGGTGCTATGCATTGTAATTTCTTGCAACTTAAGATTTATGAGGAGAAAACCAATTATGTTATTTTCCTTAAAAAAAATGCATTATAAGACTTTGCTTTTGTGCTGATCAAAAAATAAAAAATAAAAAAAGGACTTTGCTTTTCTCTTATGAAGTTCTATGCTAAATATTCGTAGCAGGCTTGACATTAAGAAGTGGTCGATGGTACTTTTCTTCTTATGTGAAGTAATGAAATGCTACTTGTCTGATTTACCAGTTTGTTAAAAACATTTCCAGAGGAGCTAGAATGATACATTTTGATGAAATGAATGCTTATGTGCCTGCTCTTTATGCACTTATTCTTTTTACAGGATTGGTCAGGAAACTCTTACAGATGAGAACCTTGCTGAGGATGAAATAGAGGCTGAACTGGTTCCCATTGCTGTTCAGTTAGCTTATGTAGAGCAGGTATACATTGTCATTTTGCAAGCTTTTTAAATCCCTTTTCTTATCTACTATTAGTGAAGTGAGTTACTCATTGGCCATTGATGTGAATTAGCTTATTTTACCAGCTCCTTGGTCGCACACAAGAGGCGCCAGGATCTTATACAGAAATTATAAACCAAAATCTAGCTGATGAATCATCACTTGCTGTGGCAATCAACAACCTAATTGCAGTGAAAGGTCCTAAAGATATTTCTGATAGCCTGAAGAAACTAGATCGGCTGAAGGAGAAAGAATCTCAGAACTTTCAGCTTGCTCATGCACTTGATTTAAAGCTTTCACCAAAGCAAAGGGAGACAATATATGCAAATCGGCTTCTTTTACTTCTTCATGCAAATAAGATAGATCAGGTTTTTAATTCTTGGGTCTTGCACTCGTGACTGAGATTCAAATTCTATTCTTTAATTAGGAGGAAAAAATAATGTTAGAGCAAGAGGCTTTAAGTTGTCTAGCTTTCCTAAGATCTGTATTTTTTGGGGAAATTGCAGGCACGGGAACTAGTGGCTGCTTTGCCAGATATTTTTCCTGATAGTGTGATGCCCGTATTGCTTCAAGCTGCAGTCTTGGTCAGAGAGAACAAAGCTGGGAAAGCTGAAGAATTGTTGGCTCAATTTGCTGACAAATTCCCTGAGAAGTCAAAAATTGCTTTCCTGTCTAGGGCACAGGTTGCTGCTGCTGTTGGCCATGTACAAATTGCTGCTGAATCCCTTGCTAAGATACCTGGTATCCAATACATGCCTGCCACTGTTGCAACCCTTGTTACTCTCAAAGAGCGTGCTGGAGATATAAATGGTGCAAGTTCTGTACTCGAGTCTGCAATCAAATGGTGGTCAAATGCCATGACTGAGGACAATAAGCTTGGTATTATAATGCAAGAGGCTGCTTCCTTTAAGCTCAGGCATGGCAAAGAGGAGGATGCTGCCTGCCTATACGAGGAGCTTGTGAAGAATCAAGGAGGCATAGGAGCCCTGGTTGGGTTGGTACGTACGGTTGCTCATGTGAATGTTGACAAAGCAGAAGCTTATGAGAAGCAGCTCAAGCCGTTACAAGGTTTGAAGGAGGTTGACGTGGATAGTTTAGAGAAGACTTCTGGGGCAAAACAGGTTGATGGAGCTCCTCATGTTGAGCTTCCTGGAGCACAAGATGAAAGTAAGATCAAGGAGAAACCAAAGAAAAAGAGAAAGAGAAAACCAAGATATCCAAAAGGTTTTGACCCTGCAAACCCTGGTCCCCCACCAGATCCAGAGAGGTGGCTCCCTAAGAGGGAGAGGTCAAGTTACAGGCCCAAGAGAAAGGACAAGAGGGCAGCTCAGGTGAGAGGTTCCCAGGGTGCAGTGGTTAGAGAAAAGAGTGAAGTTGGTGCTACTGCAACCAATCCCAGCACTTCTTCCAAGTCAACCCAAGCTACCAGTTCTAAGGGAGCTTCACAGCCTGCAGAATCATCCAAGCCTTCATCCAAGTCATCAAGAAAAAAATCCAGAAAGTAACAATCAACGAGCAACCTTTTTTTTGGGTGAAAAACTTTCCAATAGGTTTACATTTAACATTGTTTACATTGTCATTAATTTTGACAGTTTGTTGGCTGAGCTGGTTATATTTAAAATCAATAAGAACACTTAGATAGTATTTTGGCTGAGGCTATTTGTTTCTTTTATTACTTTACACATTAATTTGCAAGGTTACCTCATTCTGAGGATTTGGTAGATGCAAACACTTGGGTGCCTTGGGTTGAGATTAGAAAAGGTCCAAAAGGATGAAGACGTGGAGGGGAGGGAGGAGATAGTTTCGAAATAGGGGAAAGAGCAATCTTGTCTTAACTTCTTGTCCCCAGCAATAACATTCAGCACGTTAGCTTTAGCTTAAAAAATGGTCGCATTTTAGATGCTTCAAACAGGAAACTTTTGTAAACTTGGGAATCATTCCATTCTCAAAACAAGCAACCGAAAGAATGTATTCTGTCTTGTTTCCACTTTCATGTACCTAGATTGAAATTTATTTCTGGTCAGCACCTAAATTGAATTGACATTTGAACATTGCCTTTGAGGTGAGAAAGCTTATCGGTTTAGTTTGAGGTGAAAATTGGTTCCCACACCAATGTATTCTATGGGTTGCACGAGCCCTAGGCCCTACATGTCTAGCTCCATTCTTAATAGTAATAAACATAAAACCAGGGATTTAAAATCTGGAAAATGCAGTCCAAGGCAAAATAACCAAAAAAAATAAAGTTGCAGAGTCGAATTTAATTTCTCCTTCACCAGAGAATTAGTAGGGTTGGTAAAGTCGAATCTAATTTTAGACCCAACTGAAAGGCCCTCGGGTTTAAAACTTTGACCTGCATTTTCCTCCGTCAACCAAAAAATCTATTGCATTTTAATGTATATTTTAAAAATATGATAATTTAATTTTTTTTAATAAAAATTTATTAAAACAACATAATTTTAAGATGATTTTCTTCATAATTTTTAAAAA